ATGGATTGTAACTCAGGGCTGACTCTGTAACATCCATGCTAGCAGCCACTATTAAGTTTGGGCACCTTAACTTTCTAAAGAATTGGCAGATTTTAACCAAACCTGATGCATTTACAAAGGGTAAGAGGAGACGTAGGCATATATTTACACTATATCTGCTGTATTTGTCACACAACCCACCACCCTTAAAAAGAATGGCAGTTAATAAGTTCTCTAAAAGGCCTTATACACATACACACCCACATATAATTTTAAAAATTGAATTTCAATAAAATTTAGCCTGCCCAGAGACTTGGGGTAGGCTTGTGTTCATTTGTCGAAAGCCCTCTCATAATCTTTTAAAAGAACATAAATTCACTGTTTAGATATGCCTTAAGTTTATCCCTGACCATAAGCTTAAGTAAAGCTAATAAACTCTTCACTTTCACATTTTCCACTAAGTATCTGAAAGCACGAAGTCTCATTAGTAAGCATGGTGCTGTGGAATGAGTAAAAGCTTTTTATTTGATTTTTAAGAATAGATATTACAGAAAATATTTGATTCAATAATTTTCTCTGTTTCTGTTTCCTTTTGTAATCACAAAGGTCTAACTTTCATTGCTATTCTTTTTTTTTTTTTTTTTGCGGTACGCGGGCCTCTCACTGTTGTGGCCTCTCCCGTTGCGCAGCACAGGCTCCGGACGCGCAGGCTCAGCGGCCATGGCTCACGGGCCCAGCCGCTCCGCAGCATGTGGGATCTTCCCGGACCGGGGCACGAACCCGTGTCCCCTGCATCGGCAGGCGGACTCTCAACCACTGCGCCACCAGGGAAGCCCTCATTGCTATTCTTGACATGGCATTCTGGTATCACCCAAGAAGGACTCTTTTTGTCCCCATATATTTTCTGAAGAACCACCTATCTGAGGAACAACCTTTCTATTAAAAAAAAGAAGAGTTCCAACAGCCTCAGTGTACAGTTCTAGCCAGTTGTCCACAACTCTAGAGCTTGCTGATGACAAAGTCCAGATGACAGAACTGAAAAGTGAACCTAGGTCTGATTCCTGGACAGGTCTATTTCCACCTACTTCCCTGATTGATAGGATAGCTTATTTTAATACTCCTGTCACCTTTTAGGTAGTAAAGTTTATTGACTCAGAACTCATTTCTGAAATCAAAACTCAAGTTAATCTGCATTAGAGCAAGAATACAGAGCTGTAAATGTTCATGTAAAGTACTCATGACTAAAACAATAAGCTTCATAGCTCACAGATATAGGCAAATGACATATATCTAAAGTTATGTAGCTATAATGACTTCCTTGAACTACATGAATCAGAAAAGACTACTATCCATACCACTGACTTGACCAGAGACCTCTAGGGAGCTGGCATCTAAGTATCAGACATTATTTTATACACATGCAACAAAGCATCTCAATTATCTAGATGACTCAAATATGTCAAAACTCAACTCACTGACAAAGACATGAAGAATCAGGCATCTATTAAACAAGCTCTTAATTGCCACTAGGAAGTTTGTGACTAGTCATGTAATAAATTACTTCAAGTTGTTTCACTGAGCACTGAGTATCATCACAAGGTTATTTCCATAATATTAGGTACTGAGCAAAGAGTTAAGATTATAACTTCATTAATTTTGGTAGAATTCATTCTTAAACTAATTTCTTTGCAACTGGCCTTTCTCCCAGGATATAAAGGAATACGAAGGATATAGTTTCCTACTCTGCCAGGACACTTAAAGGGAGCCCTTTTCAAATTCATTACTGTAATATACTTACTAACAGAATCAGTGCTGTCTCTTCCTTTAAAGATAATGTAGAGTGAGATGGGGAGTGACTGCTAATAAGTATGGGGTTTACTGAAAAAGCTGTTATTTTTTAAAACCAACAGAATTTATAAAACAAAGCAAAAAAAAACCTATGGTTTGACACATGTATAGCCTGACAGTGAGGATTTGTATCAGTAACCCTTACTGGAATCTGACATAGGTAAAGCAGTAAAGTTTAGTATCTCAAGACTTTCATCCCTTATCTTAACAAAGTACCATTTTATTTCTTTATTTGTACTCTAAATCAGAGAATAATAATAAGCTCATCTCAAATTCTTTCAAATTCTTTTAGCAAATGCTAAAACGTATTAAGTGGGAAAGAGATGTAATATAGATAAATTAATATTATTTTGAGTTTTAGGCCCATATGCCTCACCAATAGTATTAACACAAGGAAGAATTTAAAATTAAACATTTCTAATAAAACTTAAAAAAAAAAACTTTTAGGCAATGTGTTTCCTTTGTTCTAACTTATCCACTTAAAAAGGAGTATTCAGGGCTTCCCTGGTGGCGCAGTGGTTGAGAATCTGCCTGCTAATGCAGGGGACACGGGTTCCTGCCCTGGTCTGGGAGGATCCCACATCCCACATGCCGCGGAGCAACTAGGCCCGTGAGCCACAACTACTAAGCCTGCGCGTCTGGAGCCTGTGCTCCGCAACAAGAGAGGCCGCTCTGTAGTAGGTCTGTGTCTTTATTCCTGTCTTACCCCTAGGTTCTTCATGACATTTTTTTTTCTTAAATTCCATATATATGTGTTAGCATACGGTATTTGTCTTTCTCTTTCTGATTTACTTCACTCAGTATGACAGACTCTAGGTCTATCCACCTCATTACAAATAGCTCAAGGGACTTGAGGATATGGGGAGGGGGAAGGGTGAGCTGTGACAAAGCAAGAGAGAGGCATGGACATATAAACACTACCAAACGTAAGGTAGATAGCTAGTGGGAAGCAGCCGCATAGCACAGGGAGATCAGCTCGGTGCTTTGTGACCACCTAGAGGGGTGGGATAGGGAGGGTGGGAGGGAGGGAGACGCAAGAGGGAAGAGATATGGGAACATATGTATACGTATAACTGATTCACTTTGTTATAAAGCAGAAACTAACACACCATTGTAAAGCAATTATACCCCAATAAAGATGTTTAAAAAAATAAAGTATGATCAACACACACACACACACACAAAACGAGAGGACGCGATAGTGAGTGGCCCCTGCTTGCCACAACTAGAGAAAGCCCTCGCACAGAAACGAAGACCCAACACAGCAAAAATAAATAAACTCCTACCCCCAACATCTTAAAAAATAAATAAATAAATAAAAATAAAAAGGAGTACTCAGAAACTTTTCAAGTAATATTCACAAAAGGATAAATGCAATCATTTTAGACCCTGTTGAAATATCACTGTGTGTGTCTGTGTCTGTGTGTGCATACATATCACACACAGACACATACTAAAAAAGTATTTTAGACGAGGTTTAATTTTAGGATAGCCAATCGTTTAGAAGTGATAGGAAAAAAAACATTAATACTGAAGTGATTCAAAAGCTCCTACTGTCGGGACAGATAATATATATGAACTGATCATTTAGCCATCTGGAAGTGACAGTTTGCAGGAGGCTTCCAAAACTTTACAGAGAACATTAAACATTTTTTGTTAAGGCTTCAGTTTAGATATTATCAATTATAAAGAGCTTTTCATCAATCTGATTTTTATTGAACACTTACTATATTCCAGGCTAGGTGCTAGAGACACAGATGCAAGACAGGTCTGTCCTCAAGGAAGGCACATTTTGATTGCTTGCTTATGTCAGATACAGCACTAAGCATGTTAACTGACAGCATATGACCTCCTAGGCTTAACCCACAGCAGGGGATTCTGAAGTAAACGTTACAAGTGACTGTAAGGAAATACATAAAAGCTGTTGTACATTTAGACCAAATCTAACTCTACCTCCTAACATGTGTAACATTATGCTAGAAGTTCCAGATATACTAGTGAAAAATAGTAAAATGACCCAAAGTATTAACTATACCTTCTTTAACACATATCACTTATACAATCGTCTCGTTTAAAGGTACATCTATTATATTTCAGTCTAAGTATCTTCTTCCATTAAAGGATATTTCTCTTTACCCTCAAACTCTCATGTGGGTACAACACTGAACAGTTGCTGAATGAATGAATGAAATAAACAGATGTTCTAATTACCAAGGAAGTACTTGCTAGATGCTTATCTCAAAACACAATGGACTGACTGACCAGAATTCTACTGTAAAGATCACTGAATTTCAGAGGCAAAAATAGTAACCACTGGACACTGTCTGTTACCATGCAGTCAACGTGTTAAATTCACAGTAAATATATGACGGGAAACTTTCAGAAATTAAAATGAAAAGTGTTCATCACAGTACTTTAAAACAGATTTGGCTCCCATCGAAGGACTGGGAACTCAAGTCCAAGACAAAGAGAAGGGAGGGTGGGGTGAAAAAGTCAAAAGGTCACCACCGAATGACCCTCAAGAGAAATGCGCGCTGACCACTGAAGCTCGCGCCGAGCTTGACGGACACCTCCTGCCCAAGCTACGGGCCGGGGCTCTTCCTCGCAGCCCGGAGCTGAAGGCCACCCCAGCCTCTTTCGGCGCCGCCGCCTGCGTTCGCCCAGAATATCAGCACAAAGAAACAAAACACTGTCCCCGTGGGCGCCGGGCAGGCGTCGGGACCGGGCCACCGGAGCGCTCTCTGCGGCTGCCCGCCGCCGGAGGAGGTAGCCGGGGCGGAGCGGGCCGCCTAGGCGCCTCCGTCCGGACCTTCGTCGAAGTGTTTCAGAACTTGCCACCCACCTCCCGCTCCATTTTCCCCTCCCGACGTGGACGCGGGACCCGCGCTCCGCGCGAGGAGGGCGCGCGAGGACCCACGGGCGGAGCTGGGGCGGGGGTCGGCCGGGACGCGCCTGGGTCCAGCAGCCCCACGCCCACTGGCCGGCCCCCGCCTCCCCAGCTGCTATTGTTCCCGCGCCGCCCCCGCCCGCCGCGCGCCCCCCGCCCGCCGCGCGCTCCCGCCCCCACTCCCGGGAGGGGGTCAAGGCTGAGGAGAGGCGGCGGCGGCAGCACAATAACATAAACACAGCGGGGCCGCCGGCCGCCCTGGCCCTGCGGCACTGACCGCACTCACCCGGCAGCGCAACGAATGGCGACAGGAAAGCCCGGCGGCGGGAACCGGCGCCGTCTTGGAGGTCGCCGTGGCCGTTACCCAGAGCTGCTCGCGGCTCCGCGCTCCGCGCCGCGTCGTCCGGCCTCGGCCCCTCCGCTGAGTAACAGGGACGCGGGCCGTCACCGCGCACGCCCGCTCACGTCATCGCGCAGGGCCCCGCCTCCGCGCTTCGCGAGAGCCCCCACGGGGCGGAGCAGCCCCGGGGCCCGGATTTCGGGGGCGGAGCCCGAAGCCCAGGGGCGGGGCTCCTGCAGGGGGCCGGGAGGACTTGCGGAGGTCACCTGGAGGTGGAGCTGCGGGGAGAGCCTTCGAGAGCGTCTGAGAGCAGATTGTGAGGGGCGTGGCGGGAAGATGGAGGGGGTGGAGACTTGCTCCTGGCACGTGGCGGCGTGTGGCCTGAGCCCCCGGCATCTGTACGGGGGCAGTACCCTAGTCCCAGCCAAAGCCTCAGGGGCTCCTCGCCCCAGGGTTTGACGGTCAGGTGCGATTGAGGCTGACCCGCCCCGGCATTAGGCACTTCGGCCCGGGCTCACACCTGAGAGACGAAAAGCTCTTTACCATGACTAACAATACGTTACATTCTGAGAACACCTGCTTCGGGCCCAGCAATCCTTAAGCAAATATTAGCCACTTGGAAAAAGTTGCCTCCTGTTTTCTCCAAATCCACTTCCTACAAAAGTCCATGCACTACCCTATTTGTCTCTGGGCCCTACAAAGCATGTATATGTTAGTTATAGAAGTGACAAATTGGCAAGCCCTTAAATATCTGACGAGTGGAAAGATGTCTAAATCACATACATGCTTGCAATGGAATACATTTAAGCAATTTAAATGCCATGTGTTCAAGGGATTCTGAACCACACAGGAAAATGTTCATCATACATCGCTAAGAGAAAGAAGCAAGTCTATATACAGAATGATCCTACTTACATAAATACTATATATACATTGAAAAAACCTGGAAAGAAACATGGCAAATTATTTTAACAGTAGTTCATCACTGGACTGTGAATTGTTCTCTTTTATATTTTGAGTATTTTTCCATGGTTTCCAAATTATGTTCATAATCAGAAAAAAGTATATTACTTTAATCATGAATAATACATATTTGTTGAATAAATGAATGAATTCAGGTAGACTACTTCCATGTCATGTTGGGCTGACCTGTTTCTAGTGATTCTGAAATGAAACATAAATGTGAGTGTTCATTTCTTCATTCTCTCCCTAATTCCTCCCTCTCTCTCAGACTTCTTTATTTGCTTCCTTTATTTCTCAAATAAATATTTATTACATGCCCATTCTGTGCCAGGTACTGAGCTAACACTGGCAATAGGATGGAGCTTACAGACTTAATCACTGTAATATAGAAATAATAACAGTAAACCAATGCAAAATGATCCCTGCATTATAATACAAATTGATATGGATACATAGTATTATGGAACCAATTGATAGAATTAATAATGCCTAGAAAGTCTTCCTTCAGGAACTGCCTCTTGAACTGAGAATAAATTCAACTAGGCAAAAAATATTTCAGACAGAGGTAACTTAGTGTGCAAGGGTTATATGATGACAGGGAGCATGGTTAGTTGGAGAAATTGAGGAAAAGACCAGTGCTGCTTGAAAAGCAAGGAGGAAGGAGCTATGAGATGAAGTTTGGAATATTGGAAAAGGACCAAACCTAGTGCAGCCATACTACTCATGTTGAAAATCTTGTCTTTATCCTAAGTGCAATGGGAAGCACCTGACATGCTTCAGCAAAGCGGGTAGCATGGTCAGAATGGCATCTTGAAAAGATTCCTTGTTAGAAGGAGGCCAGGTTGACATAGGAGTAGTCTAGATGGCAGATGGTGTAGGCTTGGTCTAGGGTGATGGTCATGGAAACAGTAAGAGAAAGGTTCTGAGTGCCCTTTAGGAGATCCAGTGCATAGGACTTGGTGATGGATTAGGTGGGCAGTGAAGGAAAGGGAGTCATCAAGGAAAAGTCATGTTTCTTGCATGTGGCCAAAAATGGATGTGGGTGCTGGTTCACTGAGATGGGAATCTTGGAAGAGGACGGGATTGAGTGGAAAGATTGCAAGAGCAGATAGCTTGAAGGCTTCTGATCTGCACAAAAGAGAGGCCAAGTTGACAGTCGGGTATATAGAGCTGGGCTCAGGTGGATAAGAGAAGAATCATTGACAGATAGTGATTACTTGCACCCTTGGGTGTGGATGAGTTAGCCTAGGCCTGAGGGAAGGAGGGTGCTGAGCAAGAAGATAAGAGGGCCAAGAGCCAGGTTTGAGGAACTTCAGCATTAAATGGATACGACAAAAGATGAGCCTGAGAAGGAGCTGCCAGGAGGTAGATGGAAAACCAGGTGAGAGTGATTCAAGAAGGAGTGATCAATAATATCAAAAAAAGAGGAGGCTTAAAATCCTGGAGCACTTAGATTCAGAAGTAGTTTAGAGTGGGCTAAGGAATGAATGGGACATTGAAAATTGAGATGGTGGATATTGATGAGTCAGGCAGTGGAGGAAGACAAGCATATTTTATATCTGATAGGAAGACTGTTGAGAGGGAAGGGTAGAATAGAAGGAAAAGGGGCTTTCCTGGTGGCGCAGTGGTTAGGAATCCACCTGCCAATCAGGGGACACAGGTTTGATCCCTGGTCCAGGAAGATCCCACATGCCACGGAGCAACAAAGCCCTTGTGCCACAACTACTGAGCCTGCGCTCTAGAGCCTGTGAGCCACAACTACTGAGCCCATGTGCCACAACTACTGAAGCCCGTGCTCTGCAACAAGCGAAGCCAGAGCAATGAGAAGCCCACGCACCGCAACGAAGAGTAGCCCCAGCTTGCCGCAACTAGAGAGAGCCCGCGTGCAGCAAAGAAGACCCAACGCAGCCAAAAATAAATAAATACATTTATAAAAAAAAAAAAAAGAAGAGAAGGAAAAAGCATGAGTGTAAATTTCCTGGGAGAGCGGGTTAGGGGCATGGAGGGGTGGAGGTTGTGTGATTGGACATGAAGGTGGAAGTATTGACAAGTACCTCCTACTCCCCACCAGATAATATTAAACACCTGGAGGTAACAAATGACAATCAGAGCAGTTGTGAAGTGAGGGGTATTGCAGAACAGCTCCCAATTTTCATGCCTAGCTCTGTAATGCTATTAACCACCTCTCCTTCTTTCCACGGGAAGAGCTTCTGATCTAGCATCAGCCTTCCACTGTCAGCTTCCTATTATCTACATCTAGAAGGGACATCCTGCATGTTTATGTATGTATATGTGCATGTGTGTGATTTCAGAAGGCATTTCACTACTTGTGATTGAATGTAATCACCTCTGATGTTCTGCAAATTCAAAATCATTTTTGTAACCCAGACGTGGCTCTGGGCCTCCTTCTTCCTTCTCATGGCATTGTTCCTTGTTAACTGATTGTGGTACCTTGTGAACCTATTGAGGGCTGACTCTGAAAAAGAGGAAAAGCTGAGGAATTCTTTCATTATTAGCTTTTTTTCTCAAGTTCTGCCCCTACATCCCAAGTGTAGATACACCTATGCTAAATTGCCCTCTCTCCATCCACATCCAGATATTGAAGATATTCAATATTTATCCCCCGGAGAAAAAGACAAAGGGAATTGAGTGGGAGGGAAAGAATATGTCGTTGAAGTTCTGTAACAATAAAATCCTTGCTGTTGTCTTAAATAAATATATATTTAGGAAGAAGCCTTTTCATCAGATCTCGCAACAAGGATTCTGTGCCTCATTTACAATCCTTTCACCTACAGTCTCTTCCAGCCCAGTGGAATTTTGCCATTTGTAACTCCAGTACTGCAGAAAATTTGTCTAGGTCCCATGGCAGAGAGAAGAGAGCCCCTCATTACTGGCCCCTCTCCCTTGGTAGTTTTAGGGAGGATAATCTCCATTGCACCTCCATCTCCATATCAGTCTCCATCTTCATCCCCACCTCCATCTCCATCTCTGTCTCTACCTCCATTTCTGCCTTCATCTCCATCTCCACCTCCATGGCTCCCTCCCTTACCTTTCAGATGTAAAACTATAATTCGTGTTAGATTGGCTGGCATTCAGAAAATGACCCTTTAGCAGGGAGACCCCTATGAACTCCCAACCTCTGCCAAAAGTCCCTACCATTCTGATAAATTTAGAAAGTCTCTTTGTGGTGTTATTGGGTAGCAAGAAGGAGAGTCTGGCATCACTTTAGAGTTAAGAGTCATTGTCTTCAGGTGGCAGGATTTTGAGCCCCTCAGAAAGCAAAAGCATTGCTAAAAGAGGTGTTTTCCTGCTACTGCCTTGCAGAGGCCTCTGGCAGGACAGGATTTGTCTCCTGTCCCTGACTCCAGAGGTGATCTGAAGTCCTCCAGTGGTCCTGAGAAGATGTTCTTTCTTCTAGAAAGCAGAAGTTACGAAACCACCTGGTAAAGGAATTTCAACAGCTCCTTTAGCCTGTTCCTGAAGAAGATTCCCACACAAAAACATCCCTGCTTCTGTGGCTAAGTTTCATTGCCCCTCACGCCCAAACTAGCAGGATTAATTCTCAGCTGGGCGTTGACATAGCTGTACCAGCCTGGCCAGCTCGAGGCTCGTTGTGGGGCTAAGAAGAGGGGAGGAGAGTAAGGTTTCTATCCATCTTGGGGAGAGGCAGGGGGAAATGCCATAACCCTTTAAGGAAAGGCCCTTTTAAATGAAAGACAACTGCACAGGGAAGAAAGTGAGTATTCTTTCCTGAATCCAAGGCAGTTTATGCTCCAACTGAAGCTTGAGGGATAAACAATGCAGCATAAATAGGGGAGAAATTTATTTCTGGAGGTGCTAAGTCATGAAGACTGGGTAAGGTCTCAAACCCAGCCCACTTTCCCCATCCCCCTTGCAGTGTTCTATTTCCTTGTAAAGTGTGGTTGGTAAATGTCAGCCTATGCAGAGCAGAAAGCAGAATTTCCCTTCCCTTGGAATCAGCAGGAGCAATAGGGATGTCACAGATATCTTCTCAAAGGCAGGGCCATGACATGAGGTTTTCTCTATCACCAAGCAATCAAGCAGGCTCTACCAAGCAAGGCTGTGCCCACGAAGACAGGAGGACCATCCTGTTTGGATCCCCTTTTGTGGGCACATACCCACATACTTAGAGAAGATAGGACCA